TACAAGAACAGTCCAAAATTATAATCTAATAATGCCCTGTAGTCTTTGCAGCTGGCTGTGTATTTTAATTAGGGAAAAGCACATTGTCATCAGTGCTTCTGTTGTGTATTATGTGCTTATGTATTCCACCACTAATAGACACTGCAGTTCTGTCTATAGATTTTAGAAATGTGTGTGCATCTGTCTGTCAGTCCATTTGTTCAAGAACGCCTCCTAAATGGGAAGAGGGCTGGCAAATATTTAGGCCACTACAAGTGGCTTCTAGAGCTTCGAAAAGACACAAAAATGGGAGAAAGAAACATAAAACAACCACTTCAAAAGAACTCAAGTGGTTGTGTTATTAGGAGCTTCTCTCAGCACTTAGAAGATGCTGGTCTAACTGGGAAGTCTGCCATACCGTTGCTATATTTAGCAAATCCTCATTCAGTCTTTGCCAACAGGCGAAAATAAGGCCCCTAATCCTGCTGCCACTGAAGTGACATGCAAGATGGGCTTTTACTCTTTGCTGGAAGCCGAGTTTTCTAAGGTGCCAAATGTTCCTGTTCAGGGCATTCGGCACCAGGAATGTTAAAAATCGTTTCATACGGTAACCATATTACCAATGAAAATTCTTAGTGGTTACACAGTGACGCGCACTAAGCTTAGTTTTATACTGAAAAGCCCACAGCGTAGCCTCCTCAGGAGCAGGGCTGCCATCCCCTGCTGGCCTGGCTCCCCTGCAGGAGGCTTCACTGTCCTGTCAAAGTGAAACTTCCTCCCAGGGAGCTGACTGAGTTTAATCAATATCATTAACTGATATACATCAGCTTATCGGTTACACGGTTAATTGATTAACCTCTAACTGCACCCGAAACAACAAGATCTCATGCTGAGTTTGAGAGCTGAGTTTGTGGCCCTTGAGGTAGAGGATCGAGAGGACAAAAGTCAGGACATGCAGGCACAAGTAAACATGATTTCGGGGCATTGAACGCCTGGTTTCTTTTTCATTTCATTGAATCTGTCATAAATTACTGACATTCAGATAGTGGGTGGGCCAGTTTTAGATTTCTCTATGAAAGAAGGAAGATGGTCTGAGATGGGGATCTAATTTCTATACATGAAGAATATGAACTTGCATGTGATTTATATCTCTCCATTGACACACTTCAATACCAATCTCCTCCTTCCTCCCCCTTTGACGTTATCTACAGGGTAAGGGGATTTGAGCTGATAAATTCAGTCCACTTTTTCTGATGCCCTTTTTCTTTGGTTTATACATGCACATTGTCAGCAGGTGGTGTCAGCAAATGAGAACTTTTAAAATTCTTTCTTTCATGCATTTTCTTTTCTTCATATTCGGTGCATTGAGAAGAAATGTGATGTCAAAGAACTTGCTGTTCTTAAAAGATAGCTAACGAACTCAAAGATAAGTAAATCATGGACATTAATATCCCATCCGGCATTTTGTGGTTCCAATTAAAATGGATCTGATCCCAGATCTCTAAATATTACCCAATCCTAATTAGGCACTCTGTGATGCTACTTGGGAATGCATCTGGCTGTCTTTGAGTGTTAACCTTTCCAGATGAATTGATGCATTTATAAATGAGTAATGTCTTTCCTTTGGGGTGAAAGATAAGTGTAGGATGAAAACACAATGGATTTTTTTTCATTTTGTGGAACCCAGCCAAGCTTTGTCCGGAGACAGGTTGGACTAAACATTTTTTGGGAGGGGCTATGAAACAATTTTCTTAACATCAAACTTAACGTTGGCTTGGCCAGGATATAAACTCTCCTGCCAGCTGCCTAGAGCCCTGCTGCTGTTCTTTATAGTCTTGGTGATTGGTTTATTTCCCAGTCTGTCATCATGCAACAAAGGATTAAACTGTTTTAATTGAAAATTGACCTGGCATTTCTAGCATCTCCAAATCAGGGGAGAAGCCTTGAACTTTGCAGGGTCTGCAGTTTGGCTCTGTTTTTAATCAAAAACAGGAGTGAGCCTTCACGGACTACAGTGGTGGGGTTAGATGTGCAAGGAATTCAGAAAAGGGCCCTTTATTAGGACAGTAGCCACGTGGGATGGTGGAACCATAGCCCTAGATCACCCGCTCATGGCCATCTTGTGAACCAATCAAGCTTAGCCTCAGTTCTCCATCTGTAAAATGGGGGTAGGTATTTCCTTTCCTTTCTCTCGCCCTTTATCTTGTCTGTTTACTCTGAAAATTCTTTCCCTGGTGTGTGCTGGCAATGTATTCACAGCACTTGCATGATCTTAGTGGTCATAGCCTGTCAGTATGACTACAATGAAAACAAGGAATGCTCTGGAAAGAGACCTCCAAGTGGAAAGATCAAGTGTGCGTTGCAATGTAAACAAAGTGGAGTTTCACTGATGTCGAGCGGAGTGGATGAATGTGAGATGAGGCCATAAATGGTTCATAACTTCATGATGGATACTTTACCGTCATTCTATAGGAGGTCCTCACTATCGATGTTGTATTCATCTTTACAACACTCTTACGGCTGGCCACTTGCAGAATCAGCTCTTCAGCCTCAGAGTGCCCTCAGCTGGCAGGTGTGTCACCCTCACTTGCCTGTCCTCTGAATTACTGAAGGCCTATACCTATCAAAGGCTACGTCTAGACTGCAAGCCTCTTTCAAAAGAGGCTTTTTCGAAAGATACTTTCGAAAAAGCCTCTTTTGAAAAAAAAGCATCTAGACTACAACCAGTACTTTCGAAAAAGTGAGCTGCTTTTTTGAGAGAGAGCACTTTCGAAAAAAGGCATTATTCTTCATAAAACAAGGTTTTCCGCGGTCAAGAAAACTGCTGTGTTCTTTTGATTTACTTTCGAGAGAACGCGGCAGCAGTCTAGACGCAGGGGAAGTTTATTCGAAAAAAGTTTTGAAAAAAAACCTGTAGTCTAGACATCATAGAACTGGAAGGGACCCTGAGAGGTCATCGAGTCCAGTCCCCTGCCCTCATGGCAGGACTAAGTACCATCCCTGGGGGTATGTCTACACTTGCCCCCTAGTTCAAACTAGGGAGGCAAATAAAGCATACCAAAGTTGCTAATGAAGTGAGGGATTTAAATAATTGATTAGCATATTCGCAGCCGGTTGCCGTTTTAAAATGCTGTTCGCCCGATTTAACTTGCCATGTATAGACGCGGTAGTCCGATTCAAAACCCTTCCCTCGAATTAACTGTTATTCCTCATGCAATGAGGGAAGGGTTATTGTTTCTGCTTTGCTCTGAATTTGATAAAAACTTGCCAACATCAGCCTTTCGGTTACTTAGAAGTCGGTACAGCGTGTGGACATCAATTTCTTCTACACAATTTGAGTCAGTTCCCATCTTCAGATACATATGTGAGGTGTTCAGAAGCCCAGTTGTCTGTTGACTTCCCTGGGGTTGTATGTCACACGCAGGTCAGCACAGAATGTGATCCTCGGAGGTTTGTGTGTGTCCAAAGGTGGAACTGGGCTGTTAATATGAGACATGGCAACTGTTTGCTTTAGCTTTTACTTAACCCAAAAAATGTTTCCCACAGACAGTTGCACAGTTGACATCCAGTATTTTCAGATGAGCTATTTCAAAATTGGCTGAGCTGCCAGAATTGTGGGATGAAATACGAATCAGGACACATCTGAAATATCGGGGAACTTTGGATTACTATACCCTGGTGAAAATGCCATTGGATCTCACGGCAGTACTTACACAGTTATTTAACTGGCTAAAAAATGTGGTACATTTCACTTCAAAATGCAAAGAATTGCTAACTGTATTGTGTGTTAACACAAAAAGTGTTTTATGTGAGTCCCAGTGCATTTTATTGGGCCAGAAGCCGCATGAGCTTTTTTTAAACAAACTTCTTTAAAAGGTCAGACTCTAATGGCTGGAAGTGGGCTTTGAAGTTCAACATCTATTATGATGAAAGGGGAAGATTTTTCTGTTTTTCTGCAGAGGAAGCAGAATAGCAGTGCATTGACTTAAAGGAGACCGTGGTAGGAGTGAAAGGTGTCTTCACAACGCAAAACACTAGAAATGTTCCTCTTATTTTCTGCATTCATTTTCTTTAATAGGGCACCCAAAAAACTCTATAGCTTATAACTTCTCTCAAAACTCAGTCCAGGTTTGCACATCTGTATTCAGTTTGAGTATGCATCCAATCCGTGAATCTAGAAACCCCTGCGTGTTTTCAGGTTTCATTCCTAAAGTTTGCATTGCCAAAATCCAAGCCAGCGATACTGGAGTGTAAACATAATCTTATTCGGACATAGATCAGACAAGTGGTTTATTGGGTAGGTAGGGCAAATAACGCTTTCTGCAATTCAGTTGTTGTCCAACCTAGGAAACACCATAAATATGTCATGTAGGTCAGACCACGGCGCTCTGTGACCCATAGTAGAAAACAACCCAAAGCAGAAGTTGGAGGAGTTGTGACCTGAATGCAGACCAGAGGTCAGAACCACGCTTACTTTCATTGTACCTCTGGAATATGGATTTAACCGTCTTCCCTCAGAAGTCAACAGAAAATTCTCAATTAAGTACCTTTGAGTGAATGTTACTTAATCTTTCGAGGCCTATAGTAGTTATTATTTATAAGGACTCAATAGTACTTACTATCAACCCCATATGAGGCCAATATCTCTTACCACCAGGGTTCCATTGAAGGTTAAAGAATTCATGTTGCTGTAGGGCGATGAAAAGTCTGAAATATGGTATGAATATTAATCTTGTTTTTTTATTATATGAAGGATTTATGTGGCAAAAGGCATGAGTCAACTTTCCAGGTTGTGCTAAAAAAATGGGGATTGAATGATGGGAGGATTTTTGTTTGTTTCTCTGTAAGTTGTGAGCCCGAGCTTATCGTAGTTAGAGATTTCTAGTCTTAAGTCTGTTAATTTCTTCAGCTGCTCAAACCAGGCATACAGAATGCTTCAGATACAGGAATGTAATTGTTCTTTGGGCATGCAGTATTTTGCAAATGAATCTTTACTGGGTTTTTTCTTGGTTTTCCAACAGGAATGTCCTAGTGGGGTTGTTAATGAAGAGACCTTCAAACAGATCTATGCACAGTTTTTTCCACACGGAGGTGAGTAGAGTCCATTTGTTTCTATCAGACAGATTGACACGTGTCTCAACATTCTTAATTGCCAGCTGGCAGCAAAACTCTTTCAGCTAGTGCCTGTCATAACTTTGAATTGTTTTTGAAGTTTTACTGAGTTTTTAAATACAAAAATACAAATGAATAAGAAAATAAATATAGGACTCCTAGCATACCTGTTGCATGGAAAAAGATAATTGAGGGCTCAACTCACTTTTTTAAAAATAAAGAGTGGTACTGAGGGGTAGCCGTGTTAGTCTGTACGTAAAAAAAAAAAAACTTAAACAACAATGGTCCTGTAGCACCTTAGAGACTAGATAGATAGATAGATAGATAGATAGATAGATAGATAGATAGATAGATAGATAGATAGATAGATAGATAGATAGTAAGTACCATGAGCTTTCGTGGGCACAACCCACTTCTTCAGATGACAATCATTAGAAGAAGTTATTTGTCATCTGAAGAAATGGATTGTGCCCATGAAAGCTTATGATACTATCTCTCTGTCTCTATCTCTATATCTATCATTTGTTAGTCTCTAAGGGTATGTCTACACTACCCCCCTAGTTTGAACTAGGGGGGGTAATGTAGTCATATGGAGTTGCAAATGAAGCCCGGGATTTGAATTTCCCAGGCTTCATTTGCATAAAGCCAGCCGGCGCCTTTTTTAAATGCCGGCTAGTTCGGGCTCTGTGCCGTGCGGCTACATGCGGCACGGACTAGCTAGTTCTGAACGCGGCGTACAGCTAGTTCGGATTAGGAAGCCTAATCCAAACTAGCTAGTCTGTGCCGCGTGTAGCCGTGCGGCACGGAGCCTGAACTAGCTGGCATTTAAAAATGGCGCCGGCCGGCTTCATGCAAATGAAGCCCGGGAAATTCAAATCCCAGGCTTCATTTGCAACTCCGTATGACTACATTACCCCCCCTAGTTCGAACTAGGGGGGTAGTGTAGACATACCCTAAGGTGCTACAGGACCATTGTTGTTTTTTAAGTTTTTTTAGTGGTACAGTGGTTAGGGCATTTGACTACCTGTCTTGTCCTGTGAATTGTCTCTGCTCTCCCATTGGCTGGTTTCTCTATTATGGTTTTAATTGATTTTAATTGAGTGCCCATTGCCTTACTATATAGTGCTCTACTAGAGTTATGCTTTTGCATACGTCAGTAATGCAGCATTAGAATTAAATTTGTGATTTGACATTGTCTGTATTTTTCCTGTCAATTTTCAGAGTGTGTGTGTCATTTTACAATCCCAAGTGGTTTGATGTTTCAGATTTCTTATTCTTTACATCTTTTTACATAGGAAATTGTGCATTCTGGGTGTAATAAAATTTCTTTAAATTATAAACATTTTGCATTTGTGTGACTTCATTATCACAGTTGTTCTCTGTGTTACTAAACACTAAAGCTTCTGTTACACTCAAGCCTTCATGTGTACTGTTTGCCATCTATCAAACAGTACAAGTGGTCTAGTATTTTTCGATGGAAGTTATATGTCACTGAAACAAAACTTGTCAGTTTAACATTGTGTAATAAGATCTTTTCCTAAGGGAGCTTTACTGATCATTCTTTTTGTTTTCTTTTGGAGGTATTTACTTGTACAACTTTTAGTTTAAAGATGCAGCAGCCAGTTGTGTATTGCACTCTTAGTTGGTTTACTCATTTGAATGGTAGTAACTGAGTCTGGCTTTAAAAATTGTAACACCTTTTTCATTCCAAATGATTTCATCACCCAAAGGTGGGCTGCAGGAATTCTGGAAGGAGATACAAGTCATCTCTCAAAGTAGAGCACAATCACATGAAGGTCATAATGGCATACATCAGATTAATTTTTCTTCATATTATTGTGGTTTCTGGTATTAAAAGCTGTCTTTCATCTGGCCTTAGAGGCTGTTCTTGCTTTATATGTAAAGGCTTCTAAACCCATCTATAGCAAATTTTAAGGTTCAAAAGGATAATAAATATTTCTGTTGGTTGTTCTGTAACAGGTGAATCTACAATTCACGTATCTTTGGTGCTTCTGTGGTGCTCTGCTGTTGTAGAAAAATAGGAGATCGTAGCCTTTTCACCAGCTGCTTCTGCCTGGACCAGTCTGCAGCACAGGCTCTGTGAAAGTCCTCTGGGATTTCTCATCAATATCACAATAAAATCTGCTCAGCTTTTATTGATTTAAATTGAAGTCAAGTGACTGGTGTCAAAACACTCAGTAAACAGAGCAAACCCAGTATTCAGATGTACTTATTATTTTTCCTTTCTAGCCAACCACCTGTTCTGTTGTGTGGCAGATGGGGCCTCCCTTAGCCATGGGATTTACTGGTTTAGTGAACAATCATCTTATCCAGTCTAAGTTTTTTAAAAAGGTTATTTATGGGCTCTCCAATACTCTGAGCTGGTGGAATATTCTTGTTTTTAGAATTCCTTTCTAGCCACATACCAGTGAAGGCTAGCACCAAAATATTGCTACCGGTATACAGCCTTTTAGAGTATTGCAAGCCTAGTGCATTTTATATGGAGAAGAAAGATGGATGTGAAGGGAGCATGGGCTGAGTTTCTCTGTCTTTGTTAACATGCTTGAATTGCCCCTGTGGGCTTAATTTTCCTTTTTGCTCCAGACAGTGATTTTTCTTCACTTATTTCCCCAGCCTAAAATCTAGATCATTGCCATGTTGATAAATTCTTGTTTATTTCAAGGATCTTTTCTGAGTACTCTTAATGAGCCTGGAGTTGTAATTTTTCACTCCTTGATACCAAGTTCACAGAAACAATTTCCAAAGAAGCCCCATTGGTTACTGAAGCAAAATGAGGCCATGAATGTTGCTGATAGTCATTAGTGAAAGTGTGTGCATAATAAGCTTCAAAATAATCAATGCCTTTGTGTTTTCAGATGCTAGTATGTATGCCCATTATCTGTTCAACGCGTTTGACACGGCACAGAATGGCTCTGTGAAGTTTGAGGTAATTAACTCACATCATAGTTTGGTCATCTTTCTCAGACATAGTGGGTTTTGTTCAACTTCCT